TTTAATTCTCCATTACCTTGCATTGTATGCATGTTTGTGATATTGATGTGTAGTTTCACGTTTCCTGTCTATCTCCTTTCCTAAATATAGCAACGGCAGATCTTCGGATCTCTGGCAACTGTCCTAAGGCCAGTGACTTGTAAATGTTAGTCGTTCAGACTATGCTTCTGCTCCCTCTCACAGAATCCATCGTGACAACTTGTCAGGTATCATTGCCTTTCATTTGTGTGTACTCACCTATATGAACTTACCCATATGTGGTTGAAGGGGTCGAGTCTCAGCTCCAGGTCCCGCCTCTTCCCTGACTGCTATTGAATTCCCTTTCATGGTTTCGAAAAACCTATCGTACCTCTACTTAAAGTAAAATATGGATCCCGTATCTTACATCATATTACTCAGATCGTTGAACTTCTTGACTCTTCTAAAGCTGAAGAAATACTTCCTAAAATTCCCGTGACTATAGTCTCATCTTCTGGATGTTCCCCTCGTGTTTCTGCTCTCTGGAACTATGTGCACCTTGTGAATATTTTGTACATCGTTATTTTATCACCCCTAGTCCTTCTATCTTGTAATGGTTTAAATCCTTTGATCTCTTCTGACAGGACATTGCCCTTAGCTCCGGGACTAGTCTCGCTGCAAACCTTTGCACTTTCCTTAGTTTCTTGACACGTTTGGTCAGGTGTGGGGCCATAATAGTGCTGCTACTGTAATAAGAGCCTGACATATGCATGAACGTTAATCGGCGAGTAGAGAGGCAGAGAGAGGTAGAGAGAGGTAGAGAGAGAGGTAGAGAGGTAGAGAGAGAGGTAGGGAAAGAGAAGTAGAGAGAAATGTAGAGAGATAAGTGGGAAGGTTATAATTAAGAATTTACAAAACAATCTTTCATATATTATATGAAACAAAAAAATTAACTAGGCGCTTCATATGAAATATTTAAGATAATTTTTCATCTAAGAATTCTGATAAAATTTTAGAAAAAGGAAAGAATGGCATTACTGACATTTAATAAGATAATGGCACAAGATATTTACCTGTGACTCGCTACTTGGGGAACAGCTGCAGCGTCTACAAGGTGTAGGAAAGTAGAAGGAAAACAGAGGTACTTACAGAAGACAGAGAGCTTGGTGGTGTTCTCCAGGACAATGTCTGGAAGACCTGGATTGAAGCCTCGACACGTCAGCAGTGCTCCGTTGTCAGCTGAGTCTGGTGTAAGTGTCAGCCTGGAGCGGGACACTTCCCCATTCACCTCCACCTGCTGAGTCAGTACACAACCTTCATTACCACCTGCTGAGTCAGTACACAACCTTCATTACCACCTGCTGAGTCAGTACACAGCCTTCATTACCACCTGCTGAGTCAGTACACAGCCTTCATTACCACCTGCTGAGTCAGTACATAACATTCATTACCACCTGCTGAGTCAGTACACAACCTTCATTACCACCTGCTGAGTCAGTACACAACATTCATTACCACCTGCTGAGTCAGTACACAACCTTCATTACCACCTGCTGAGTCAGTACACAACATTCATACCACCTGCTGAGTCAGTACACAACCTTCATTACCACCTGCTGAGTCAGTACACAACCTCATTACCACCTGCTGAGTCAGTACACAACCTTCATTACCACTGCTGAGTCAGTACACAACCTTCATTACCACCTGCTGAGTCAGTACACAGCCTTCATTACCACCTGCTGAGTCAGTACACAGCCTTCATTACCACCTGCTGAGTCAGTACATAACATTCATTACCACCTGCTGAGTCAGTACACAACCTTCATTACCACCTGCTGAGTCAGTACACAACATTCATTACCACCTGCTGAGTCAGTACACAACCTTCATTACCACCTGCTGAGTCAGTACACAACATTCAATACCACCTGCTGAGTCAGTACACAACCTTCATTACCACCTGCTGAGTCAGTACACAACCTTCATTACCACCTGCTGAGTCAGTACACAACCTTCATTACCACCTGCTGAGTCAGTACACAACCTTCATTACCACCTGCTGAGTCAGTACACAGCCTTCATTACCACCTGCTGAGTCAGTACACAGCCTTCATTACCACCTGCTGAGTCAGTACACAACCTTCATTACCACCTGCTGAGTCAGTACACAGCCTTCATTACCACCTGCTGAGTCAGTACACAGCCTTCATTACCACCTGCTGAGTCAGTACACAACCTTCATTACCACCTGCTGAGTCAGCACACAGCCTTCATTACCACCTGCTGAGTCAGTACACAACCTTCATTACCACCTGCTGAGTCAGTACACAACCTTCATTACCACCTGCTGAGTCAGTACACAACCTTCATTACCACCTGCTGAGTCAGTACACAGCCTTCATTACCACCTGCTGAGTCAGTACACAGCCTGCATTACCACCTGCTGAGTCAGTACACAGCCTTCATTACCACCTGCTGAGTCAGTACACAACCTTCATTACCACCTGCTGAGTCAGCACACAACCTTCATTACCACCTGCTGAGTCAGTACATAACATTCATTACCACCTGAAGAGTCAGCACACAACCTTCATTACCACCTGCTGAGTCAGTACATAACCTTCATTACCACCTGCTGAGTCAGTACATAACCTTCATTACCACCTGCTGAGTCAGTACATAACCTTCATTACCACCTGCTGAGTCAGTACATAACCTTCATTACCACCTGCTGAGTCAGTACACAACCTTCATTACCACCTGCTGAGTCAGTACATAACCTTCATTACCACCTGCTGAGTCAGTACACAACATTCATTACCACCTGCTGAGTCAGTACATAACCTTCATTACCACCTGCTGAGTCAGTACACAACATTCATTACCACCTGCTGAGTCAGTACATAACCTTCATTACCACCTGCTGAGTCAGTACACAACATTCATTACCACCTGCTGAGTCAGTACACAACATTCATTACCACCTACTGAGTCAGTACATAACCTTCATTACCACCTGCTGAGTCAGTACATAACCTTCATTACCACCTGCTGAGTCAGTACACAACATTCATTACCACCTGCTGAGTCAGTACATAACCTTCATTACCACCTGCTGAGTCAGTACACAACATTCATTACCACCTGCTGAGTCAGTACATAACCTTCATTACCACCTGCTGAGTCAGTACACAACATTCATACCACCTGCTGAGTCAGTACATAACCTTCATTACCACCTGCTAGTCAGTACACAACATTCATTACCACCTACTGAGTCAGTACATAACCTTCATTACCACCTGCTGAGTCAGTACACAACCAACACACACTGACACATACTGACACGCACACACACACACATACACACACACAGACACACACACACAACATACACACATACACACACACACACACACACCACACACACACACACACACACACACACAACACACAACACACACACACACACACACACACCACACGCAACACACACACACAATATAGAAGGCAAAGGACCAGGAGAATAAGGAGAACAGTCGTAGAGCCAGAAACGAATATGCACAGATAAGAGGGAGGCCCAAAGACAATATGAAAATGACATAGCAGCGAAAGCCAAATCTGACCCGAAACTGTTGTACAGCCACATCAGGAGGAAAACAACAGTCAAGGACCAGGTAATCAGGCTAAGGAAGGAAGGAGGAGAGACAACAAGAAATGACCGTGAAGTATGTGAAGAACTCAACAAGAGATTCAAAGAAGTGTTCACAGAGGAGACAGAAGGGACTCCAGAAAGACGGAGAGGTGGGGCACACCACCAAGTGCTGGACACAGTGCACACAACCGAGGAAGAAGTGAAGAGGCTTCTGAGTGAGCTAGATACCTCAAAGGCAATGGGGCCAGATAACATCTCCCCATGGGTATTGAGAGAGGGAGCAGAGGCGCTATGTGTACCCCTAACAACAATATTCAATACATCTATCGAAACAGGGAGATTGCCTGAGGCATGGAAGACAGCAAATGTAGTCCCAATCTTTAAAAAAGGAGACTGACATGAAGCATTAAACTACAGACCAGTGTCACTGACATGTATAGTATGCAAAATCATGGAGAAGATTATCAGGAGAAGAGTGGTGGAACACCTAGAAAGGAATGATCTCATCAACAGCAGCCAACATGGTTTCAGGGACGGGAAATCCTGTGTCACAAACCTACTGGAGTTCTATGACATGGTGACAGCAGTAAGACAAGAGAGAGAGGGGTGGGTGGATTGCATTTTCTTGGACTGCAAGAAGGCGTTTGACACAGTTCCACACAAGAGATTGGTGCAAAAACTGGAGGACCAAGCAGGGATAACAGGGAAGGCACTACAATGGATCAGGGAATACTTGTCAGGAAGACAGCAGCGAGTCATGGTACGTGGCGAGGTGTCAGAGTGGGCACTGTGACCAGCGGGGTCCCGCAGGGGTCAGTCCTAGGACAGTGCTGTTTCTGGTATTTGTGAACGACATGACGGAAGGAATAGACTCTGAGGGTGTCCCTGTTTGCAGATGGACGTGAAGTTGATGAGAAGTATACACTCGATCGAAGACCAGGCAGAACTACAAAGGGATCTGGGACAGGCTGCAGACCTGGTCTAGCAATTGGCTCTGGGTTCAATCCACTAAGTGCAAAGTCATGAAGATTGGGGAAGGGCAAGAAGGCCGCAGACGGAGTACAGTCTAGGGGTCAGAGACTACAAACCTCACTCAAGGAAAAAGATCTTGGGGTGAGTATAACACCAGGCACATCTCCTGAAGCGCACATCAACCAAATAACTGCTGCAGCATATGGGCGCCTAGCAAACCTCAGAACAGCATTCCGACATCTTAATAAGGAATTTTCAGGACCCTGTACACCGTGTACGTTGGCCCATATTGGAGTATGCGGCACCAGTTTGGAACCCACCCCTAGCCAACCCACGTAAAGAATCTAGAGAAAGTGAAAAGGGTTTTTGCAACAAGACTAGTCCCAGAGCTAAGAGGTATGTCCTACGAGGA